CAGAGGAGCTGGCCAAGTCCCGTGAGGAGCGGCATGCTCTCAAGGGGGAACTTGACCAGATCCGCACGTGTCCCAGCTTGTTGTCTCGGAGGTCTTTGGGTCGGTGCCAAGTACCAGCATGCCTGCTGTTTAGCTCATGGAGGTTCCAGATGCGGTCCGAGACCTTATCACAAGCGGCCTATTCTACGAAGCATTGGGGGTGTTGACTTCAGTGGTGATGCACCACCCGAACCTGGACTTCGCTACTATCTGCAGTGGATATGTTGAAGGCTTGAACACGGAGGACATCCAATAGATCGGGGAGAGCTTGCTGCCGCACGCAAGGTCGGTGGCAGATCAAGTCTCTGCTCAGTGGGTGATGGACGTCCGACGTGAAGACATGGCCAAGAGCATGCGTGGAGAGGACGTTGCCTAGCCTACGGATGGCATGGAGCCTAGGTCAGGGGTGGACGTCGCCCTAGCTTCGACCGAGCTGAATGTCGTGCCGTCGAGAAGTGAGCCGCACGTGCCTTCGCCGGTCGCACCGACAACAGATGCCGCCGATCCGGCCCAATAGCTTGTAAAGTATGAGTAGTTTAGTAAAACATAAAAAGTTTAAGTTCATGGGGAAGCCCCCGTGTAAACGTTCTAGTGTACTTAATGACTACAGTCGGTTTTGTTTTCTATGATGGAGTTACTCCGTTCGGGGAAGCTTGTTCCTTTTTGTTCCTTAGCTTTCCCTTAGCATAATTTTGTTTTTTATTCTTTCTTTCTCGTACCTGCCCATTTGTCCCGTAGGCTGCAACCTTGGGAGCCTGGGGCGTGGTCCGTGAGGCTCAGCTGCTTGTAACCGTAGGGAAAGGCGGGGTACGATCGGTCGGAATATTTTAAAGCAAAGCTATGTAAGGCGAAATAAAGGAACGAACTACCCTTTTGATTGGGTAGGAAGGAAATTCACCATATGATAGTAAACAAATAGAGAGGTAGTAGTGCCCCCTAGTGGAGCCCCCGAGCACCCCGGGCCAAAAAAGTGTTCGAGTCGGGGTGCTTTTATAGGAGCATACGCTAAGTAAACAATGGTAAGACTGAAAACTTAGGGAAAAAGTGACAGCTGTTCCAAGCGTTTGGAGAGAAGGGCGTCGTTGTTGTCCTTCAGTCGGTAGGTGTCTGGTCTGATCACTTCGTCCTTCAGTCGTCCGGTTCCTTGCCCGCTACGCCCCATTTCTCGGTCGCTGCTTCTTCGCCTTTTTCTTCCTTTGGTCTGCCAGCCTGCCGTAGAAGGCGCTTGAGGAGCTGGCAATCCTTGTAGAGGTGTTTGACGGGGTAGTCATGGTTGGTGCACGGGCTCTCCATGAGCTCGTGGAAGTGGCCCGGAGGGTCCTGCTGGGGTTGCGTGCCCGCGTGATCAGCCATGGCGACCAACGCGGAGTTGGCCGGTCGGCTGTGATTCTTTCTGTTCTTTTTCCCCCTCTGCGTGGAGGGGCCCTTGTCCTAATCCTGGCGCTTGGCCTTGCCCTTGCCCCAGCCTTTGTTGGAGCGCGGCGGGAGCGGCGCTTGTTGGAGGTTTTGGACAAAGGTCCGCGGTCCCGGGCCATCAGGGCTAGGACTCCGGTCGCTGCTGCATGTGTCTTAGTTTGGCCCGAGCCGCACGTAGGCAGGCGGTCGGTGCGAAGCGGTTGTCAAGTCAAGGCGAGGTGCCAATGCGACCTCCTGTGCCGCGCTCGGCGGTCGTGGTGGTGATCGGGTGGAGCGACCCATCTACTGCGTCCCCATTCCCCTGGTGGGGAGTGAGGGCGCGAGTCATCGTCGTTATACGGAGGTCTCCGCTTGTTGCATGGCGACGGTCTCCACTAGTGCCCGGAGGTTCTGGTGGATCGCCTGTTCATGAGGGTCGTTTGGCTCGGACAGGCCGCGCAGAAGCATCGCCGTAGCGGCGATGTTCTGACTGGGCCGAGCGAACTGTGGGGGATCGTTCCCCATCTATGGTGTTCTTATTTGGGCTTTGACGGGCGCGACCCAGCCTTGCGCGCGCCCTATCTGCCTATGCGCGCGGGCGCAGTCTGCGTCGGCGCGTTAAGCGCGATCGGTGGGCTGATGTAGCCTCTGTTGCCGTAGTGCCTCGCCGTGTTCCCGTGTGGGCTCGGGGGTCTCTTTATGAGAGTCCAGCGAAGTATGAGTCTATGAGGACTCTGCTTCCGCCGGTTGGTGTCCCGGAGCGTCCGCCATGGTGCACTCTCGGGATGGATGGTGGCTAGGCGCCATGTCGCCGATGCTGGAGCTGTCACTCTCGCCATCGTCGTCCATGAGGTCGAGGAAATAGGTGGGAGCATAGCTCGCCATTCCCACGAATTTGGATGCGAGAGAGGGCGACGCTGGCATCCTATGGAGCCCCCAGGCGTATGTGTCCGCGGAGGACGTGAGGCCATAGGGGAACCGGTCGTATGGCGGTCGCGTTGGGGACAACGGGGTTCCTCCGGGTAATCGGCGGAAGATAGAGAATAGTAAGTAAATAACAGCATGTATATTACTCACAGCAGGGTTTGAGCAAAGAGTTTGCTCGGGAAGAAGCGCAGATGCCGCGTCGTCGAAGTCGTGCGTCCCGGAGTCGATGGAGGGCGCCCCTCCGACGGGTGCCGGGACGTGAGCCTCCTCGCGGAGGCGTAGTACGCCGAGCCGGTCGGCGACAAAGTCTAGGTTTCCGAAGAGGAAGGCCTAGGATGGCTCGAAGACGGGTGAAGCCCACATCCCAATAGGTGAGAGTGCGGGAAACTCCAGCGAGCCGAAGCGAATCGTATCGTCCGAGCCCGCCACGACGAGGGTGGCGGAAAAGTGGGTCATCCATGACCAAAAAGTGTTGAACGTACAACGTCTTTCCCACGGACGGCGCCAATTGTCGGTACAGAAAGTGACCAACTAGTAAATATTTGTAGTTTTACCGTACGTTGTGATCGGAGGTGGCCTAGCACTCAATGACACAGGGTTTATACTGGTTCAGGCAACGTGCCCTACGTCTAGTTTGAGTCGGTCAGTGACTTTATTCCTGAGCCCAGGTGCTCAAAGTTTGCAGTGGGGTTACAAACGAGAAGGAGAAAGATGGAGTGTACAAGAGGTCCGGTCGGCTCTGGTCAGAAGGGCAGAGAGCGACAGGAGCTACGCTATGAGCTAAGTGTTCAAGCGTGTGCTTGAGGTCCGAACCCGGCGGTTCTGTGGTTGTGAGCTAGTGAACTTGATCGATGTTGATTAACTAAAAAGGGCCCTCTCTTTTGGGAGAGAGCATATCTCCTTTTATAGATGAAGGGGATGGCCTTACAAGTGAGAGGGAGAGAGTACGAATGCTTCTAGCCTTGTTGCCCACGCCGATGGGCACAGAATGATGTTAGGCGCCCACAATACTGTTGGATGTCAGATGCACATGGGAGGTTCCGTCGTCCTTATCTGGGTATGGCAGATGTCGGTACCTACATACACTGTTGATGCCCAGAGGCATGTGAGGAGTTTTACCATGTGCCCTCGGTATGGTGAATCCCGGCGCCCACAACACTGTTGATGCCCAGAGGCATGCGGGGGAGCCTTACCGTATGGGAGTTTAATGGCGCCCATAATACTGTAGGGGAAATGTAGGCGCCTACAACACTGTTTGTGTCAGGGCGGTTGCAGAGTACTGTTCCGTGCAGGGTATGGTCCTTGGTACCGTGGTTTGACTTGCGCGCCTCGCCCCGCTTTTCTCTGCACGTCTCCTGGTCCCTACCGAGCGGGCGTCTCCGGTCGATTGATCCCAGTCGGCTCTGATCGCGCCAGTTGGAGAAGAGCGGTGAGCAGGAGTTGGACGTATCCCCGGTCGGAGAGTGCGGGGTCGGAGTCGAAAGCGGTGTTTTTGGCCAGGCCTTTCGGTCGAAGAGGCCGTCCGGAGGCGGGCTGGCGACCGGATCGAGCGCTCCGGTCGGAGAGGCGGGCTGGAGCCGACAAACGGGTGATGTTCCTTCTCGGCCTGACCTTCCGGTCGGAGATTAGATCACTCCTCCGGCCTGGTGCTCAGGTACTTAGGCCGGCCCATGAGTTGCGTGCTGTCTGCTTGGGCCGAGCCTTGGCGTGGAAGCCGGTCCCCGAGGGACCCCGGTTTTATAAACTCGACACTGGCCGTAGGGCTCCGACCTGAACCAATATAAATCCACGTGTCTTTTGGATGCTACGATCGTCTTTCTGGAGCAGCGCGATAATCATATAAATTCACTAGGCGGTCTACAAAATACCGACAGATGGGCTAACGGTATTAAGTTGTATGCGAAGTTACTCTTTTACCCCCGGCACATAAAGCAATAGTTCAACAACCTACAGGTGCGCTATACAAATCTTTTAGGCTGCCTGCTATTAATAATTTCCCAAAATAATATACAATATCTTTTTGAAGTATGGAATCATTATTTTTTACATATATTTGCACATGACAACATCACACTGCATATCGTCATTCATACGCAAGGCGTCCTATTTTGACCATGGTGTTAGATGAATCGAGGAGATATTTGCACATGACAACATCACACTGCATATCGTCATTCATACGCAAGGCGTCCTATTTTGACCATGGTGTTAGATGAATCGAGGCTCAAAGGGCTGCTGATTGCCACAGTGAGATCTTTTTTTTAACAATTTCCTAACACTTGGTCCGGACCTGGCGCTTTTGTCTCTAGGCATGGATCGGATGATAGATTTAATCTCTTCTTGGGAGAAAAAGGGTTTTAATTTCCAGCGATAATAGGTCGGCAGGCAGGTACCCAATAGAGTGGATACAGCACAAATTTGTCCATCGAAAAATATTGCTGAAATACTGAGCGTCTCTCATCTATCTCTGCACAAAGTCCTCTTCCGACTATTTTGTTCCTTGCCAAATTAAGCTCATACAGAAAATTGATTTTATGATGCCTAATGTTGCATAACTTATGCTTATTCCACGAACACTATAATAATTGTACAGTAGGCTTCTCAACCTCAGATTTGCACGCATATCAGGATTCAGGTGATCAGTCGGTGGCCTCTGTCCACTCCGCAATAGCCAGGGTGTGCCGCCCGCCACAAGCCACGTACTTAGCCTGCCACTGCCCGTCGGGGCTGCTGCTGGTCTTGGGCGGCGGCAGGTCGATGGGCACTTCCATGGGGTGGCCCGTCGTCACCTTCCTGCCGTAGCCCAGACGGCCATGGTCGCCCCTCCCATACTGCATGCCAACACAAAACGAGACTCGCCATTAATATGCATGGCAAAACTCAGATAAAACTATGCGCAATGCAGAAAACATCAATAATGCCTGAACTGGGGTTAGTGAAACTTGGGTAAAATACATACAGTTGATACCAGTCATTCTTAGAACATAAATCGACATTTCTCTAGTCTGCACATGCATCGTGTTGAAAAAGCATATCCACAACCAGTCCACAACTTTGCAAATTTCAAAATCTTCAAGTGTTTCATATGTATGTAAGAAAATAGAAAACCCGGTCTGTTCATCCTTGTCTCAACTATGGCCTATGGGCATGTTTTCTCCCTCAGGAAGAATGTTGTACAGCTTGGCTACTGACCACAAAATCAACAATATATTTGATCATGCTTATATGGCTTCAGACATCCTTGGGTTCGCTCCAGTTAAAATTGCTTTAATGCATTCTAGGTTTTTGCATAACTTTTAAATTTTTCTATCGGTAGTATTCTACTGCAAAGACCGTAAAAATGGTCGTGGCCGGGATCTTCATTTTATATGTCAGAGCCCTGAGCTAGAAAAGATAATGGCAAGGCACATGGTAGGATTGTAAGTAGAAGACAGCTTCTACTTACAGAAAACATCCGGCCATCTCGAGTTAACGCAACTGAATGTGTTCCTCCACATGATACCTGCAAACATGCAAAATGAGCTCTGCTGCTCAGCTTGGAGAGGAAAATTGTTCAACCACTTCAGGACCACAGTCCACAGGAAAGGCTAATGCAACCGAAGTCAACAACATCCCAGTAATACTAATACCAAGGTCTATTACCTGAACAATATTTTCTCCAGCTAGAAGCTCAACCTTTAGGGGCACCATGCGACTACTCTTATCATCTCCAAATCCAAGCCTCCCGTGCTCTCCTCTCCCCCAAGCATACACCTAAAGAGACCAAACAGCAACAAAGCCTTTTAGTCCTAAGAAAGTTGGTGCAGGTTAAGAGAAAAAAAACAAAATATTTGTGTTCAAGTAGAAAATGATGAGTACCAAAAAAGAAGATTTTACAATGCATCGAGATTGGATCAGGTCGATTTGTGCAACTCATGGGACCTGCTCAGCTGTGCTTTTGAAGCAGCTACAGCAGTTGCTCCTGCTTATTTTCTACTACAAAGAATAGTAGATGTAGGCAGGTTTGCTGCAGCAGCAGCCGCAACGCTTGCTGCAGCAAGCAGTTCCGATCAGTCTGACATATACATAGCAGAGGCACCTAAGTGCATATCTGCTTTGCCCAGTACAGCATATATGTTTGTCACATGATCCATCTTTCTAAATAAACAACCACAAGCCCTCAGTATCGTCTATGTAAGGAAAGCCCTGGAAACAATCCTAGTTAATTTCAGATCTTAACATACACCCTCACTACGCTCCCCATCACTGTCTACCCCTATGCAATACAATATCTAGCCTGCAGTGCCTTACGTTTCTTTTCTTGTCATTTATTGTGATCAGTGCCAGTCTTACTACGTTAAAATACATGTTTCCATGGCATTAATATTCGTTTTCTGGAAAATGCACAATAAGGTACAGATGGATCTGAATCAATGGAACTCAAGCCAAACTTAGTCTGTAGCCTTTTTTTTTTTTGAACAACTGCTGACTCTGTATTCGGTTCAGATGAGCTCAACATGGTCAACACACTCCTCTAGGTTACTTTCATCGTATATTCGTATAATATGTATATTTTCAGTGCTCTCTAATCTGGACATCTTTAAAGCATGCCCTGAATAAATAGCAAGCAAGTGAATTTATCTGCAGCCGACATAATATGACAACAGTTTTCAAGAAGTTAATTTCCTAAGCATGAATGAATAGCCTGTCCCTCAATATATTCGTGTCATCTGGTGGCTTGGCAGGATAAAACAGCATATAATAATAAGACGGTAACCCTGAATTCAAGAATCAAGATAATGGAAATACCTCTCCCTCTATAGTTAGTGCAGTTGAATGCCAGCCTCCAGCAGCAATGTCAACCTGCAAATGTAAGATATTGGAGCTTATGCAACAAGTGAGAAATCAGGAAAGCAATGTGCAGACAAATTATCGATTTATGCCCATGCAGTGGTGTCCTCAAATAAAGAATCAGGATGCCATTCTTTGCATAAGCAACATCAAACATTCAAACATAGTATTCCTAGTGTGCAATGATTATAACTGGAAGTCCCAAAAAGGATGAAGTTTGGATCTTTTTTATCTTGGTTTGACGTCCTTATATAAGCTCATTTGGCAATGGCTTGAGAAACTCACTGATGACAGACTAATTTGAAAATGTATCAGAAAATCAAAGAAAAGAAATCAATCTGACTCACCAGTGAGAGATCAGATAGTCCTTCGACACGTATCGGATGTGATCTTGGTTGGGTATCTCCAGTCCCCAGCTGACCATACTCATTACTACCCCATGCCCACAAAATTCCATCCTCTGTTAGTGCCAAATTATGGAATGCACCTACAGCAATGACTCTCACTTTCTCAAGGCCTTGCACACGTACTGGTTTAGATATTTGCTTGCTGAAAAAAGACCCATGCTCAACATTAGAATCAAGGAGACAATAGAAGAGCAAACAAAAAAAATATTTCATCATAAGGCACCATACATATCGCCAGGAGGCCATGGCTGTCCCCATGACCAGACGTGACCTTCTTGAGTCAAAACCACTGAATGTGTCCCTCCAGCAGCTACCTAGAATTAGCAAACAAATAAGGAAGCCAAAAGCTAACAAACCGAAATCATGAGTGCATGCAGCACACAAAAGTTGCAGCATCCTTTCACCGACAGGAACAATTCATTTGAGCGATAGACACTATAACTGCTCCAGTTCCATCATATAAATTATCCTATAAGTGGTTTGTGATCCGACTACTTCTTTGGCAACAAAGCATATGCCAAAGTGACAACACTATCCAAAAATTGTTGGATTCCCTGCAACCGACGCACCGAACCAAAATTGCTAAAGTTCCAAGAACATTCCCACTGGTGCTATTGCACAACGTAAAACAGGAATCCAATTCCACTCACTTGCCGGACTTTGAGCTTGGGCGCGCAGCGCTGCGGGGTCGGGATGTCCCTCCAGAGCGCCCTCGTCCCGTCCTCCGTCCTCTGGGGCTCCTCACCGCACTGCCCGTACTCGTTCCCCCCTGCACACAATCCACGCACGTTGCATCAAAGCAACCAGAAATCAGCCACGGGAATCGCGGTGAAGCGGGTGCCCCTACCCCAGGCGTAGGCGCGCCCCTTGTCGTCAACTGCGAGGCAATGCCACCCGCCAATCGCCGCCTGAATGAACCAAGGAAACCATAGGCAGAGCCTGTTCCGTCAGCAGCAGCACAGACACGAACCTCGCAGGTAAAGCGGAACTGAGGCGCACCTGGACGATCTTGACACCCGCGAGGGCGTCGACGGGGCCCGGGGAGCTCTCCGTCTTGGTCTCCGGCGGGTGCCCGAGCGTGCCGCGCTGGTTCCACCCCCAAGTGAAGAGCTGCGCGCGGCAAGGAACCCCAACCAACCCAAGCAAAGCAACCGGGTCAGAAACAGAAGCTCGCCAGGAAATGAACAACAAGCACGAACAGCAGGCAGCGGTCGGGGAAGGGGAAGGGGACGCACGCGGCCGTCGTCGCAGATGGCGAGGGAGTTGCGGCTGCCGGCGACGACGGCGGTGACGGCGTAGGGGCCCAGCGCCTCCACGCAGTGGGCCCAGTCCTTCTCCTCGTTCCCGCCCATGCCCAGCTGCCCGTCCTCCCCGGAACCCCTGCACAGAATGAGAACGAGAGCAATCAGCGGCCTGCCGCCGCGTCGGCCGGCATCGCGAGAGACGGAGTTCCCCTCGCCGCGGCCCCCGCGCGCGAGAGAGAGAAGAGAACGCGGGACAGTGATGAGCGCACGCACCACGCGAGGACCGCGGTGGCGCGGGGCGGGGCCGCCATGGCGGCGGTGGGAGTGTCGGCGGCGGGAGCGAAGGGAACGCGGGGGCAGGCAGCAAGCAGCCGACGCACGCGGTGGAGGTGGGTTTCCGTGCGCCGCGCAGGACCCGCCCCCGCGTGCGTGGCTTTTGTGGCCGTGATTTGGGCTCTTCTTGTGCCTGCCGCGTGTGCGTGATTTGTGCGGGAAAAGGATGGCTGTGGCGGCAGTGGGCAGGCCTATCTTTCTGGGCGGGTGTCCGGTCCGGTGCGGGTTTTTGTGCTGGGCGCAATACGTTTTTTTCTTTTCTTTTCTTTTTTGGGTGGCATCCTCGCGCAAGTGGCCAGCTCGGCACTAGTGACTGCAAAAGATTCTTGTGATTAGTGCTGCTACGGGCTGCCGGTGATGGAACTGCAAAGGGGATGACAACGCCATTACGATGGGATCAAATTTAGCACGATTTATTTTTGTTTTCCGTGACAGCACAAGAACTGTTTTAGTGGTGACTGTTGTTTGTATGATACTCCTTCAGTCCTGCTGCCTCGGTTCAAACTATATCATCTTTTTCAGTATATATCTAGACATGATGTATTATCTATTAAAAGATCAAAACATCTTATAATTTGAAATTAGAGGAGTACAAAAAAAAATGCAATTTGACAAAGAGGCGGTAGCGGCCAGAGGCACGGTCATGGCCAGCTCGGGTGGCTAGAAGCTCAAGATCTAGACGATCGAATCGATCGCATACATGAACAAGTATCCTTGAGAAAGGAGGGGGGGGGTGCAACGAGTCGACAACGGCAGCCACTAATAGGGGAGACCATGCTGCTTCTAGTTTCAGCCTGCTCACACGGTGTTGGCTAGACAAGCGTTTTACTTCTTTATTAACTCTTTTCCTATTCATGGGTCACCTGAAATCGGGCTTTCGTTCAGGCGACATTGCGCCCGTTGAATATACTTCAAGACCATTGGGTTTGTATTGGGTTTGAATGTGATCACAACTAGAAACTACGCCTGGGTTTGTATTGGGTTCCAACATGATCGCAACTAGAAACTACGCCCGCTAACACCGAACGGACCGGAGCAAAATTGATAGTGTCCTTTTTGAACGCTATTCGTATTCCTCAAACTAGGGCAGTGATTCTTATATTTATATCCCCCGAGGCAAGAGTCGGAATGGACTCCTAGAGCCCGATGTTGACGCAACTAGCCACATCCTCATTTAACGGGCCTAGTCTTTGACGTGTCTCCACTTTTCCAACGTCCTCATTTAACGGGCCCAGCCCATGACATGTCTCCACTTTTCCAACGGGCCAGAGTCCGATGTTACGCGCTTTAACCTTCTTATTGCATCACAACTAGCTGCGTCCTTATTTTTTCCTCAAAAAAAAAGTTGCGTCCTTATTTAACGGGCCCGGCCCATGACGTGTCTCCACTTTTCCAATGGGCCACCGAGGTGGACGCTTTGTCTTCCTTTCACCACGTCACACCCTAACCATAGCCGCTATAGATGGGCCTAGCCAAACCTTGGCATCAAGCCATCAACACCAGGTCACAACGGGCCTGCCAAACCAGAGGCCCAACCATAGCTCCAAGCAAGGTCTTGGGCCATCTCGACCCAAAAGACTAGATTGATAGGTGAGATTCCCTTCACCTTATAAGTTGGGCTCCCCCACCATCAATATCCGATGTGGGAATTAACCCAACAATTAAAAACATGTGCGTCATTCCATCGTTGGGGCTTGACAAAATCTTTTCCTATTCTAGGTTTGTACTTTGTTCATTTGCATGTTCATGAAGATTGTTTCGAATTTGTTAACATGCCCATTCTTCAAACTTATTTGAAGCTTAATGATATGTAACTAACACATCAGAATTCGCTTACAATGTTTGACGTGTTGAAAATAGTTGTTTTTAGGTAAATGAGAGCCACTCTGAATATCTTGACCGTGCATGTGTATTTGGTGTCTCCCACTTTCCTTATTGTCTAATCTGCATGTGTAATTTCCTCAGCACTACAGAGATTTGAATCTGCTAAAAGAAATATGTGTTTTTCATTGTTTTGTTAAGGTCAGGTGTTCCATGATAATTATCTTGTTATGCCTGCATATCGAGGATATTAGCTGTAGGTACTTCAAGGATGAGGCTCCTAACAAAATGGATAGGTTAAGCTTCAAAAAAAGAGTTGATTCCTTAGCCTCTGAGACTATCTTCAAAGAGAGATGTGTTCTTGATCCTTGTCAGGCTGGTAAGGGGCATGTTCGGTTGCTACCCTAACTCACATGCCTGAGTATTTTGCCTGCCTGAGATCTCCTTGAGATTTAGATGTTTTTTGCCTGCCGAGGCATGGAGTTCATCTTCTTGTTTGGTTGCTGCCATGTGCCTGAGGTAAAAGCAGAAAAATACAGTACGCTTTATTGAAGAGAATACGTAAACGAAGTATGCTTTCCCTGTGTTCATCTTCCAGGAGTTTGACGATGCAGGTCTACAACTGTGGAGCTTGCCGCAGCTGCGATTGACTGTTGTAACCGTCAAAATGGAACAGTTTACAACTCCCTGGAGACCCGCTGCGGGGGGTCAACATGGCGGACATGGCGCCGCCGCGATGCCTTCGCTGGTCGGAGGTCCCCATCACCTTCGGCCGCCGGGACTACCCACGACACGTCCCCAGCCCGGGCCGTTTCCTGCTCGTCGTCGACCCCATCATCAGACGGGCGCGCCTTACGAAGGTGCTGATGGACGACGAGAGCGGCCTCAACGTTCTCTACGCCGACACACTCAACCGCATGGGGATCTCGAGGAAGGACCTCCACCCCGGCGGGGCACCCTTCTTCGGGATCATCCCCGGAGCCCAAGCCACTCCTCTCGGAAGCATCCGGCTCCCTATCACGTTCGAGGATCTTGCTAACTTCCGGAAGGAGTACCTTGACTTTGAGGTGGTGGATTTCGCCAGCCCTTACCATGCTCTGTTGGGGCGGCCATGCTACGCGAAGTCCATGGCCGTCCCGCACTACGGTTGCCTGAAGCTCAAGATTCTCGGCCCGCGGGGGGGTCATCGTGGTGGCCACCTCCGCGGATGAGGCGTATCACTGCGAGCAGGAAGGCACAACCCTCGCCGCGGTCGACGTCGTCGCCGCCGACTTCGCTCGAATCCGGCGCTAGCCGGGTGATGAGCCCCCGAACGGCTCGAAAGGGAACGCGACGACGGCCTTCCACCCGGCCGAGTTCATCCAAGACATCATCCACAGGATTGGAGTCCCCAATCGCATTATTACTAACAATGGCACCCAGTTCACATGTCGCAAGTTCCTAGACTTCTGCGACTCCTAGCGAATTCGGGTGGATTGGGCTTCGCTCTATCACCCCGAATCCAACGGCCAAGTCGAGCGCGCCAACGGGCTAATCCTCCAAGGGATCAAGACCCGAATGTACAACGAGCTCAAGATCCACATCGGACGATGGGTGGACGAACTCCACTCCCTGCTCTGGAGCCTGCGGACGAGCGTGAACCGCTCGATGGGCTACACCCCCTTCTTCCTCGTCTACGAAGCAGAGGCGATCATCCCCACCGACCTCGACTTCGATGCTCCGCGCATCCACTTCTACGACGAACAACGGGCTTAGGAACAGCGCCAGGCGGACGTCGACATGCTCAAGGAGGTGCGGAATACTATCGTGGTGCAATCCGCCGGCTACCAGTAGGGGCTTCGCCGCTATCACGCCAGACGGGTACGCGAACATTCCTTTGTTGTAGGTGATCTCGTCCTCTAGAGAGCCGCCCCATCCAAGAAGGGCCACAAGCTGTCTCCGCCCTAGGAGGGCCCCTTCCGCATATCACGGGTGATTCGGCCAGGCGCCTACAAGATCAGCACCATGGCGGGGCACGAGTACGACAACGGGTGGAACATCAAACAACTACGTCGTTTTTATCCATAGCTCGTTCCTTCCTGTTTCCTGTTTTTCATACCTCTAACCCCTTGGCAGGAGCCCACCCCTCAGTGGGGCGGAAGCGACGTCCTCCCAGAAGGGGGGCGACGCTCGGGGTTCAAGGACGGCTCCCCCGAGCTTCAAGGTTGCCCCGGGAAGGATTTCGAAGTGCGAGGGATGCTCGAGAGATGAGCCCACGCGGCTGTAGCCAGGACGCTCAGAAGCGTCCTGACCGTCGGACGAGTGATGTCCAAGTATCGGCCTCGAGCCACTCATGGTGACCCAACAAGGGAGGCAGCGAGCCCCCAAGCACCGACAGATGGGCTCGGGAACTATACGAGTGGCTCGGTTGAGAAGCCGAGAATCTCTCCTCTGGGGGACATGACCAAGGCACGGAATGACCGCAAACTTGGGGTTCTCACGGACTTACCCGCTAGTAGCATGGGCGTAGAAATCTTGGCCAACGAGGCTATTGTCATGGCAGCCCAGCCCATCGAGGGAACATCAACCCTAAGCTAAAGGCTTGACAAAGCCTGTGAAGACGTCGAGGTCACAATGGCCTCGGGGGCTGCGCCAGCTCCCCAGACGGAGCAGCCCGACCATCGATCGACATGCACTCGGGTGGCGCATCCCCCAAAAAAAACAACCAACTACCTAGAGTTGGGTCGGGAGCCGCTGAGTGGTGGTCCCAACAAGGGCCTCCGGTCGAGTCTCGGCGCGCTCCCACTTCCCCGATCTATGGCTGCAGAGGGTCGGCCCCAGAAGGCCGACTTTAGAGGATCAGGACCTGTTATCGCAGCCCTCAGAGGGCGTGGAGCTCTGGATGATCAGATGGCCCTGGGCCAGAGCCCAGCGCTCTTGGTCACCCGACCCTCGGCAAACTCCGATCAGAAAGGAGGGCTCCCCCGGGCCTATAGTCGGCAACTCCCAGACGAGTTCGCCGAGCTCTTGCTTAAGTCGAAGACCCATGTGACATGGACTCACGAAGGGATTAGCTCCATCTTCACTCAGCCTTGATAGCCGAGCACCATCCATCACACTGGAGAAGAAGGCCCCAAGCAGGGCACAACACTCTCGCTAGCGGAAGCTGTCCCCACCA